ATTTCTTGATCATCAGGTAACACTCAAGTGTACCTAACTTTCCATTTCCAGGGTGGGCATTGTATTTAGAACAAAGGCTCTTATTTGGAGGCAGTGCCTAATGGAGGCTGGCCCCGTGACGTGGAATTTCTAGCTGTGGCTGCTGCACATGGGCCGGTGACCCTGTGCAAGTCACTTCAGCTCTTTCGGCCTTAGTGTCCTCACCTGTTTAAAAAGATGGGATGAGTGTGTTGGAAGATTCTGTGATCTCTGCAATTTATCATTCCAAGCCCTTGAATTATCTCCAGTAAAACTTGAACAAATGTAACCATTTATCGATATACTGGAAACTGCATCTATAGTGCCTCTTTGTTAGAAAATACCCACGTTTTAGTTATATTTACACACACATTCACACAGACCTATGTGCATATATGTATGTGTGTATATTACATGGTGTATGTGTGTGGATGCTGGTCTTATACTTTTTTGTTGTAGTTCATAGAAGTAAAAATGTATCCAGTGAGAATGGCCTTTATCAAAAAGTCCCCAAACAATAAATGCTAGCGTGGATGCGGAGAGAGAGGAACACTCCTACACTGCTGGTGGGACTGCAAACTCGTTCAACCTCTGTGGAAAGCAACATGGAGATACCTTAAAGCGATACAAGTGAATCTACCATTTGATCCAGCAATCCCATTGCTGGGCATCTACCCAAAAGATCCAGTGACACTCTACAAAAAAGACACCTGCACTCGAATGTTTATAGCAGCACAATTCATAATTGCAAGGCTGTGGAAACAGCCCAAGTGCCCATCAATCCAAGAATGGATTAATAAAATGTGGTATATGTATACCATGGAGTACTATTCAGCTCTAAGAAACAATGGTGACGTAGCACATCTTATATTTTCCTGGTTAGAGCTGGAACCCATACTACTAAGTGAAGTTTCCCAAGAATGGAAAAACAAGCACCACATATACTCACCACCAAATTGGTATTAACTGAACAGCACCTAAGTGGTCACATAGGTGCTACAGTAATAGGGTATTGGGCAGGTGGGAGCGGGGCGGGGGTCGGGTATATACATACATAATGAGTGAGATGTGCACCATCTGGGGATGGTCATGCTGGAGACTCAGACTTGTGGGGGGAGGGGGAGAAATGGGCATTTATTGAAACCTTAAAATCTGTACCCCCATAATATGCTGAAATAAAAAAAAAAGTGAAGATATTTAAACCAAATCACAACTGTAAGGAAACAGGCCCTTAGGGTCTACTTTTTTTCTAGCTACCTGACTCTTGCTTTGGGGACAGTGTCCTTCCATGCTTTGTTTTGACGCAGCATGTCACCTGTGGACGTGTTCAGCATAGTGTTGTATGGAGCAGAGGTTTTCCAATTATGCTCTGTGGGACTTTAGAGCTCTCTAGAAACGCTCTGAAACCAAGAAAATACTTGAAAAAATATTTGTGAGCTGCACTGTCATACAGCTGGGAGCTCGGCAGGTTCGAGTTTCAGTGGTTGGAACAGTCTGTCCACACTTGGGGTTACACGCTTCCATCTGCCCTTCTCATGTGTGTGCACTGCACCGCGTGGTATTGGATACCGTCCGCGTGTAGACGGGTGCTGATAGATTAATTCGGTTTGTGTGGTTAGGTGGCCCTCCTTCCTTGTCTGCCTTATTAGGGGATATTCCATGATCACAGGACAGGCTGTTCAAAAGCAGACCTGTTTGTAATAACTGATCAGCATGTATTAGGACTTTTCCCAATGACGGGCAGCCAGGAGAGAAATCAAGTGTCGCGCTGTGGTTGGCATCTGCAACCCCCGGTGTCAGATTGTCAAGTTCACCCAAATAGCTTAATTGCTCTCCATGACAGACTTTATAATACAAACATATTATAAATGGAGCTTGCTAAAAATGTTTGGGAGCTGCAGATGCAGTGAAAAGGGCACAGGTTTTAAAGACAGTTCTGGAGCCCTGGCGCGTGTCATTTGCTAAAAAGATGGAGTAATTTGCCCCTGGAAGCCAGAGTTGTCTCATCTGCAAAGTGGGCCTGTTCTCCAGCGTGCAGGTCATTTCTGAAGATCAGGGATAAGTGTACAAATGGGCCTAGTCCCGTGCCTGGCGCATAACAAAATGTTCAACAAATGGTGGCTATTACTGTGCTTTTTATACTGAGAATTAAAGTTGCCAGATTTTGTCTGGCCATGAAGAGCTGTTTACACACTATAGAAACATAGATATTTAATTGTATTTGCATATTTACTTCTCCCATGAACATAGCATATACATATTCTGGTAAATGTATTTTTCTGTAATTTAGAGATGTTTTAGCAGCTTGGAGGGACGTTTCTCCTTCTGATATGTATTTGTGGCAAATTGATTTACTTTCCTTTCATTTTTAAATTGTGTGGAGCCTTAAGAGAATAATTTCTTGTACTTTAGTTTCTTCTAGTAGGAAAAAACCCATCCAACAGCCGATGGGAATTGCTTTTATGCATTGGAACTCTAAAATGCTGCTTTATTTTTACGTACAGACTTGTTGTGGGTGGACTACAGAAATCCTTGCTCTCAGAAAATGTGCTTGAGCCCCTGGGAAACTGAACAGGGAAAAAAGAGCTAATTAAAAAAGCTGCCTCCCGCCTCCTCTAATTAACTTGCTCTCTGCTCCCAGGAGAGGATGCGGAAATATGAAAACAAGGCAGGCAGCAGCACCGGAAGTGAATGCTATTCTAGTGGTCCGTGGTGGCCCACACACCTGGCCACCCTTGGTGTTTTGTTGCAGAAATAGTTCATGGCAAACAGGCAAGGGACCACGACGGGGCTTGCCCTGGCGTGCCTGCACACTGCACAGAGTGGTGGCGAATGGTGGTCCCTTTGAGCAGGTGGACGGGCCGGGCAGCTGCCGCCACAGAGACCTCATTGGAATTCAGCAGGGAGAATCCAAGAGCATCCGGCTCTCCCCACTGCTTACTTGTGCTGTTGGGAGAGAGCAGACCCTTTGTGCTCCAAAGCCACTCGTCACCAGTGCCCAGGGATGCAGAAGCCAGGGAACCAGTGAGCACTTGCTGGTCTCTCCCAGAATCTCAGCTTGCGTGGGGCAGCCTCGGGGCCTCTGGGTACTGGAGAAGCTCACAGCATCCGTGGCTGATTGATGCTGCCAACTTTTTTGTGACATCAAAAGAGATTTCGATCTCGGAGACACCGGCAGGGGAATCTGGGGGACAGAAGCCGTTCTTCAGTGGAGATGGCTTTTGCCTCCTGGCAGATGTGGTCCCCAGTGGAATGGGCCCGGTGGATGTGGACAGCTGTGGCCAGCAGTGGGAATTCCAGTCTGCCGGTCCTTCAAGGAAGCTCTGGAAAGAGGCAAGTTGGCTCTGTGCATCTTGTTAACTTTGCCTGATGCTGCATGCAGCACCAGGGGCCTGGGCAAGTAAGCTGGGTGCTCGGGGCTACACCCCAGACCCACCAGGCTGATCTGAACTCTTGTTCCTCTTTGCTGCTCAGTCGTGTAACCTCCTTGTGTTCTTCATACTGATAAACAGACTCTGCAGAACTTCAAGTCCTTTGAGCTGTTGTCCAAGTGTGGATCTTAAATCCTGCCCATAGACAAAAGCTAAGCCCTTTGATATTAATGTGTGTTTGTAAAAAGTCACCATCTCCCCTGTCGTGGTTGCATGAGTTAAGTATTTACTTGTGAAATTTAATAGTGTGCAGGCTTTGGCTCATTGGATCCCATCAAAAGCAGCTCTGATGTTTCTGTTTATCTCTTTGGGTCCCAGGAGGACTCTGTGGCTGGCTGGTTAGAGGAGCCGAGGTCCTTGGTGGGCAGAGTAGAGGGGAAGGGGGACCTTTGATGCTGATCAAGTGAGTCACTCACAAACAAGTCGTAAAAGCCATATTGATGTAGATTTTCTGAGGGAAACTCACCCAATGGCTCCTTTCCTGGTTCGTGCAGATCCTGCAGATCGTGGAGGGATTGGTTTGGTTCCTGGTATGCTCTGCCGGCTGGCTGATGGTCTTTAGGAGATGCTGACCTCCACTGGGGTCACCAGTCCTTTGACCCTGTGGGCGCTCAGCAGTGTGAGTGTCTCATAGTGTCTGTTGGGCTGTGTGGCTCAGTGACACCGGTGTGGCCCAGTGCACTCTGCCACACTCCACGCTCACCTGCCAGGTCGCCCTGCGAATCCCACCAGATGCGCCCGCTGGGATTGTTTGTGGCAATCAGCAATCCTAAGTTTCCACCCTTCTGATAATTAACTTCCTTACTGCAAATGAATAAATTGGTATTTTGGTCTGTTTCAACTATTCTGAGATGGGACTGAGCCCAGCTGCTGCTGCTGCTGCTGCTGCTGCTGCTGCCGCCGCCGTATCCTGGCTGGCCGTCCTCAGAGGCGAGGTTGGGCCCAGGCTGGGGACCACTGGGCATCTCGAGCACACGCAGAGCTGCCTTCTGGCCCGCAGGGTGCATGGCCGGCTCGGTGACTGTGGGAAGCCTAATCCTTTCTGACTTAAATTGAGTCACCAGGCCAGGTGCAGTGGCTCACACCTGTAATCCTCAGTAGATGGAAGGATGAATAAACATGATGAAAAAGTGAGTGGATGTGTACCAACAAGTGATGTGATGCGCTGAGAGGGCAGGACGGAGGTGAGGGTGACGCGGGACGGGGGCTTGGCACCGGGGCGTGGAGCAAGCAGAATGTCTTTCTGTCTGAACGCATGCCAGAGTTCCTCAAGGGTCCGCTGTGCCCGCGGTCACCGCTAAGGCGAGACGCGTGCGTTCCAGTAGAGCCGAGTTCAAAGAACACATCGTTCGGGCACAGTCAGGGCTGGCGGTGAGATGCACCCTCGGGAGTTCTGGCCGGGAACTCTGCCGTTCCTCTCATCTGTCCTCAGACAGTTCAGCTGAGCGGCGGGCCTGGGTCCGCGGCCCTGGGCCAGAGGCCACCCCGCGCGGCGGCAGAGCTGGCCCTCGGCATCTGTCTAACCTGTGCTTCTGCCTCTTCCTCCATCAGGAGCTCGGACTCTGAAGAAGCATTTGAGACCCCGGAGTCGACGACCCCTGTCAAAGCTCCGCCAGCCCCGCCCCCGCCGCCCCCCGAAGTCATCCCAGAACCCGAGGTCAGCGCACAGCCACCGCCGCCGGAAGAACCAGGTAACCGAGGGGCAGGAGCTCCCCGGGCAGCCCCGGAGCAGCCCTGTGGGCCTGTGCAGGCGGGAAGATCTCGGCAGCTCCTCCTGGGGCGGGGCTGGAGGCGGATGCCCACCCCAGGGCCTGGGCTGGCCTCTTGGCTCTGGGCCGTGCTGTGCATGATTTTTGTAGGTTTTCATGAAAATGAGAGGTGAGCAGATACAGTGGATTGTTCTACATTTGCTTTGCAGAGTTTTAGGGTAGGCCTGTGGGGAGATTGGGTTTGGCGGGAGGTGTTGGGGGCCGGTGGGTCTTGGAAGTTCCCAGCGCAGTGCTGGAGTCTAGCCTTTGGCCCCTGGCTCTCGTAAGGACACTGGTCCTCGACAGCCCGTGTGGATCTGCATTTGTGTTCCAAGAACAGGGCCTGTAGGCTCGGGAAGAAAGGTAGTAAAGAGGTGAGGAGTGGTGGGCACCTGGCAGGCCTGGGGCTTTGTCTGTCCCTCATTAACCTCTAACCTGTTACTGATTCCGTGTCACTTTCCCACACCTGTTGCCCTCAGGATGGGTTGAGAACACCTTTATGCACCTGTTAGATGTGGTGGTTACTTGGGGATTGGGGCAGTAATTGTGCCTACATGGCCTGTGTTCTCTGGGTCCATCCGCTGGTGTCACAGGCAGGGTGGGACCACCTCTAGCATGAAAGTTTAATATGAGCCTGGAAGGGGGTGGGGCCTGCCAGAAATGGCCCCACAGGCTGGTCAGGGGGCCAGGTGTCCCATCCTTAGACCTGGACAGCTCTGGGCCCCACACCTTAGAGGACCTCACCCTGGCCACCTTGGGCCATAGCCCTCCCCGTGTGGTGAGGAGTCTGTAGGACCAGACTCCCTTCTAGACCACGAGCCGGACACCTGGGCGTAGTCCCGTCCAGGTCTACCTGGTCCCCTTCTCCTGGGCCGGCTTCCCGGGGGCAGGCCGTGCCTGAGAATTGAGCCACAGATGGGGCTCGAGGCTGCCCCAAGAGAGGGAGGAGAAGGGGCCGTGCAGGCTGGGGCCTCCCTCGTACTCTCGCCCTGGCCAGGACCCAGGGGAACTGGGAAATAAAACAACACTTTGACCTTGATGTTGGTTTTGGAAAGAAATGGGTGGAATTCTGGTTATCTGCCCTGGGTTGGAGCAGGCCGTTGTTTTAGAAAGGGCGCCCACTCCCGGGGCTTCGTCCTGAGCAAATGTGCCACGTGCGCTGTGGAAGGGCAGGGCGGTTTCCGTGAGAGCAGATGCCTTTGCGGGTGTCTGGCGAGCCCCGGTTTCACGCCCTCCCCGCTTTGACAGCTCCTCAGCCGGTGGCTGTGCCTGGATCCTGCTGAGTCAGTGTAGACGCGGGCTCTGAGAGGAGGATGATCTGCACTTCTTTGATTTTTGCGGTAGAGAAGAGCCAGGAGGGCTGCTCACAATTCTTAGAGAGTCATTTGCATCCTTTTCTTTATTTCCTGTGATAAGGCCTAGGAAAAAAGTATTCTAATATTTTTAAAAATGTTTTAATAGTTTTAAAAATTGACCCCTAGTTCTTAATGGACAGTGGCTGAATGACAAATGATTTGTAACCTCTAGGTCAAACATATGATTAGGAAGTGACTATTTTTTTGTGGGTATAATAAATTCATGCCTAAACATGTGTAGGGTGCTTTAGGAAAGGATTTAGAAGAAAACGATGGCGTGTCACAGCGTGTCCATCCCGAAACACCACGGTGTTCAGAGAAGGCCGATGTGTGACCATAGGTGCGTTCTCTGGGGCTCCCGGTCGACACCCTGCCGGCTTTGGGGAGAGGGCCACGCTCTGCTCTTCCCGCTGGCCCCGTCCTTCTGCCTGACTCCTTTGGTACAAAGCAAACAACAATCTCCATTCTTGGAAACAAACACGTGTGACACCCACCTCTTTCTTGGATGGCAGTTTCCAAAGGAACCAGCATTATGGAGGATTAGGTGACAGCCCCCGCCAGGGAAGGGGCTGGAGTCTTTAACTGCCACCGGTCACAGCCCCCAGAATCTTTGACTATTCCTGTTGGAGTCTTTGAACAGGGACTTGACGCTTTTCCTCCGTGGAAGGCGACAAGGAGACCGGCCGTGTGGGGCTTATGTGATAAGGAGACTTACGGTCGGACTGCGTCTGCTTAAAGCCACCCTGGCTTGGCCTGTGCGAAGATCCATGTGATTTGCTGCCCTCATTAGAAATGCGACCCTAGACGCAGAGTCCCTGCCCGTTCTTCAGAGCGGCGCGGGGCATCGAACATGTGTGGGCAGCTGTGCTTGCCGGCGCAGGCGGCCAGGGGAGAAGAAAGAGTCCTTCTGAGAGCCACGGGAAGAAAGGGCAAGAGAGGAAACCTGGTTGTTGAGTTTTCCTCTCCGAAGAGCCCTGGGTGTGCTGCTAACGGTGCTAAGAGAGCCACGGGAAGCAACAGATAAGACCTTTGGCTGCGAGTGAAGACGTGGTTTTCCTCCTGGAGACCTGTGCTTTACAAAACAGTCGCTCACCTAGCAGCGTGTGTGTGCTGGACCCGCTCAGCTGAGCCCAGTTTCTTGTCCATCAAATGAGGAGGGTGACCGGGGAGCCCTCAGATCCTTCCTGCTCTGGCCTCCCATGCACGGTCTTGTGAATGGACCACTTGGCTGGCGGACAGTGTCTGTGTTGTTAGAACTCAAAAGTGGCCACCTAGGGACATAATTAAATGCCACGTAATTCAGTAATAGCTCCCCTTGGAGTGTCTGTGCTGTGTCAGGTGTGTGCTAGGTCCCTTGCATGTTTCCCCTCCCACTCAGGTGAGGGAGGGAGAGTCATCCCTCATGGGCACAACGTCCCTGTGCGGTGGATATCATCCCCTGCCTCCCTGTGAGAGGAGAGGTCACGGAGCTTGCAGGACTTTGCGCTCCGCCTCGGATCGGAACGCAGGCCTCTCCGCCTCCAAGCCGGCTCCCTCCCATCTGGAAACCAGGCTGCTCCTTGCATGGGTGACATGAGCTGGTGCAGGTAGTAGGTGTCACTGTGCTTGCAGATGCCCACATGTGTGCAGGTGCAGCTCTGCAGCTCTGTGCCCGCTTCTCCTGAGAGCTGCAGCCTGGGCCCACCCCCGAGACGGAGGCCAGGGCACAGGACCGTCAGGCGGCAGCAAGTCAGTGGTCAGTGGGGCAAGTATGGCAGGGGACTGAGGTGATCTTCCAACAGATGCCCGCCTGCACTCCAGGGACGTTGTTCTCCCCTGGGGAATGAAGCTGGCTTGCTCACTCCTGCCGGGAGACTGCCAAGCCAGGAGAAAGGCCAGGTCGGGGCTTTGGAGGTGATTGGAGCTGCCTTGTGCCCTGTGTGCCCACACCCTTCCTGTCTCCGCCTGAAAGTGGTGGCTTTCACCCAGTCCCGATTGTGCTCCCAATGGCTATTTGTTGGCCATTGCCCTCAAGCTGACTCGGGAGGGAGCTCAGTGCCCAGCCTGGCTGCAGAGCATCTGTGGGTCCACTGGACCCATGACGGGGGAACCTGTCTCCACACACGCTGCTGCTCGCTTTCACCTCCTCCGAGGAGGCATGTGAAAAGTGCTCAGTGTAGACACGGGAAGCCTCCTGGTATGCGGCAGGGCACCCCAGGGCCCTTCCCAGGCTGAGGCAGGAGTCTGAGGGGCGGTGTCACCGTGGCATGTGCAGGAGTTGGGGAGCCGTGGCTGCCTTTTCCTGGCACCTGCTGTGCCCCGGGCTAGGTGCTTACTTGCCGCTCCCTCTTCATCCTCGCAGGAAGGCCCGTTTCACAGCCGAGGCTCAGAGGGATTGGATAACCTGCCTGGGGTTGCATCCTGTCTGATCAGGCTGCTATAGCAAAGTAACCATGGACTGGGCAGCTTATAAACAACAAAAATGCATTGCTCACACTTCTGGAGGCTGCAAGTGCAAGATCGAGGCGCCGGCAGATTTGGCGTCCAGTAGGGGCCTGCCGGCCGGTTCATACACAGCACCTCCCGTGTCCTCACTTGGTGGAAGGGACAAACAGGCTCCCTCAGGTCTATTTTATTAAAGGCGCTGATCCCATTCATGAATCTCCGCTCCCATGACCTAATCACCTCCCAAAGGCCCCACCTCGTGAGTGAGGATTCCAACATGGAAACGTGGGAGGACACCACGTTCAGACCAGAGCACGCCGCGGGGTGGGGGCCACGGCTTCTCAGACCCGGGCCTGGCTGCCACAAGCACTTGGGTCCTCCTCGGCCGGGCGGCTCCCTGCCTCACGAGGTGAGTGTTACACGTGCCCAGGTCAGGGAACAGGTGAAGCCGCCGGGGACGCTAACATGCACCCCTCACACCGCACCTGGGGGGCCCTGGCCATGGAGCCAGGTGCGTCTGGGGTCCACAGCCGCTAGATCCAAAGGCCCATTGATCCCGGGCTGGAGGGACGATGCAGAGATCAGGGGCTGTGTAAACAGGTGAGGAAGCATGAGAGGATGGTGACCTCACCTGCCCACGGTGACCTCACCTGCCCACGGTGACCTCACCTGCCCACGGTGACCACGTTCACACGGAGAGGACGATGAGTGGCCCGGGACCAGCGGGTGTCCAGTGGTTACGTGAGGAGCAGTGAACTGTACCCCGGGCAGAGCCTTCGCGCTGATGCTTAGGCCTGGCGGGGGCTGTGGAGTGGCCGGCGGGCCGGCAGGTGGGATCTATCTCTGGCTGACGCGGCGGGGGCAGCGGTCAGCACAGCAGGCCGGAGGAGTGGCGTGTGGCCTGCTCTCGGGGAGCCCTCGTGCTTTCTCCCCTTCCTTGGAATTTCCCCACATTCCCCCTCATCTGCTTTTTCCTGACTTGGGGTTTCATTGCCCGGCTCCAGGGTTATGGACCTCGTTTTGCTGCCCCCTATTCACGTGTCAAAGCCCAAACCCCCAGTGTGACTGTGTCTGTGGACGGGTCTTCAAGGGGGTCTGAAGGTCGAATGGGGTGATAAGGGTGGGGCCCTAATCCGATGGGACTCGTGTCCCCGTAGGAAGAGG